TGTAGGCACCATAATGCGGCATCGAGGTGCATTCCATAAAAATGTCATGTTTACACAGCACAACACACGTCACCACATGTCAATGGGCCATAGCGCATAGCAACATAGAATGAAGTTTCATTTGTGACACTTTAATAAGCGGAAAGTGGAAGTAGAGCTTCAAAACAAAGAAAAAAAATCCCCTGCCGATTGGCAAGATTTGTGACTGTGCAAGCCGAATTCACACCTACGCGTTGACAGAAATGCGAAAAAAGTGCAACGAGCTTGCGTTGCCATTAATTTGCATTGGCACCATAAACACGGCCAGGAAGACACGTGTTTGCAAAATTGAGGAAGGCGTGCTGCATAATTTGCTACATGAGCTTCTTGCCACGTTTTACACGCATGCAGACCCCATTGAACTCAATGAGGACGAGTGATAAACGCGGCACACAAACGCGCACAAATGCATGTAACGTGACGCAGGTTCACACCACTTGCAGGTGTGAATGCAGCCTAAGTCTCTTCTGCCATAAAAGCTCCTTGCTACCTGCCAGGATTTTTTTTCTTTTTTTCGAACACTGCACGCATGTACAGCTCAGCGCACAGACCCAGCATGCTGAGATGAGGTAAGCCGCATGTGCGGGAGTAACGTCATCGGGGGCCAGCCAAATTGTTGAAATCTCAAAACCGGGGACAAAATAGAAGCGCTTTGGCAGAGCCGTCCCCAGGTTGGGTGTCACCCAGGTCCCATAAAAGGTGGCTATGTCTTTTTTATTTCATCACAGTCATGTTTTTACTCCAATGAGGACATCTGGTGGACATTTTTAGCAATACTTGGTTGAAGTGATAAAACCCAGCAGTGCAGGGATTTATATGTACTTACTGTGCTGAAAACCAGCTATAGAGGAATACAAATCCCAGCAATACATTATACACTGCATGTACAGTGTATTGCTGGGATTTGTTGTACTCCTCTATAGCTGGTGGTATTCTGCATTGCACTGTATAGAGGACTACAAATCCCAGCAATAGTACATTATACAGCCCAATGTGGAATTCCACCAGCTATAGAGGAGTACAACAAAACCCAGCAATAATACATTATACAGTGGTGCAATGCAGAATACCACCAGCTATAGAGGGATACAACAAATCCCAGCAATAATACATTATACAGTGGTGCAATGCAGAATACCACCAGCTATAGAGGGATACAACAAATCTCAGCAATAATACATTATACAGTGGTGAAATGCCGAATACCACTAGCTATAGAGGACTATAAAACCCATCAATAGTACATTATACAGCACAATGCAGAATACCGCCAGCTATAATGTACTATTGCTGGGATTTTTTGTATTCCCCTATAGCTGGTGCCATTCGGCATTGATTGCTTTAAAATGTAGTATTGCTGGGATTTGTTGTATTCCTCTACAGCTGGTGGTATTCTGTATTGTGCTGTATAGTGTACTATTGCTGGGATTTGTAGTCCGCTATAGCCAGTGCCATTCTGTATTGATTGCTGTATAATTTTACACTTCCCATTTCACTATATTGCACACCACACTTTAAATTTTACTTCCTCTGCTCCAAGTTTGCTCCTGTGATGGAGTACAATCTTAATACAAACTAGTAGTCCATCACAGGAGTCATTTTTCTTTAAAATCCTGATTAACCGGTTAATCGAACTTAATAATTGGCTAACTAATCGATTTTGAAAATAATAGTTAGCTGCAGCTCTATACCATACCAATACCATACCATACCATACTATACAATACCATACCATGCCATACTATACTATACCATACCATACTAGGCTATACTAAGGACATATCTCCCAACTCTGTAACATGCAAAAGAGGGACAGAGAGGACATGCGGTGAGAGTAGTTGTGGATTTACAGTTGTCAAAGGGGCAAAAATAAATGATTTTTTTCACTGCACCCGATCAACCCCTTATTTTTTATATTTCTGATGAATGTGAGACATACAAGTACCTCCCATTTTTAAACAAATATTTTTATTGCGATATAATAAATACACAGACAGAAGTTCAAGAGGGTTTGAAAACAGAGCCAAAACAATCACAGATTTAGGATAGACTGAACAACTGAAATGCATATCACTTGGCACTTGAAGAGTTATGGGCGGTATATAAAATGTTGTGAGCAAACAATAAAACTGACAGAAAAATAAATAAGAAAAAAGGAAATAAAGGAACCAGCAACAAGCTAAGAGAAAACATTACTCACAACAAACCAGGTGAGCCTTTTATCAAAACAGGTCATGGCAGACGCAGCGGCAGTGCACCAGTCCCCGCTATACTTTCCTTCTTTAAAGTCGAACTCCAGGGAAAATGTTATTAACCTTTGCAGTGGAGGTACCCTCACACTGTGCCCCCCTACAAGGGTTAATAAAATGTATTCCCGGAGTTCTTTATTAAAATGTTCTACTGTTTTGGTTCCTCATAGCTCACCTCCCATTCTGTCTGGTTATATTAGTAAGGGCTTTGTTGTACTATGTCTGATGACTTGTGTTGACCAATGCAGGCTCAACGCAAGGGCACAGAGAAAACAATTGTAGGCACCATAATGCGGCATCGAGGTGCATTCCATAAAAATGTCATGTTTACACAGCACAACACACGTCACCACATGTCAATGGGCCATAGCGCATAGCAACATAGAATGAAGTTTCATTTGTGACACTTTAATAAGTGTAAAGTGGAAGTAAAGCTTCAAAACAAAGAAAAAAAACCTGCAGATTGGCAAGCTTTCTATGGAGGAGAGACTGTGTAAGCCGCATTCACACCTACGCGTTCACAGAAATGCGAAATAAGTGCAATGAGCTTGCGTTGCCATTAATTTGCAATGGCACCATAAACACGGCCAGGAAGACACGCGTTTGCAAAAAACGAGGAAGGCGTGCTGCATAATTTGGCACATGAGCTTCTTTGCCACGTTTTACACGCATGCGGACCCCATTGAACTCAATGAGGACGAGTAAAAAAACCCGGCACACAAATGCGCACAAATGCATGTAACATGACGCACGTTCACACCACATGCAGGTGTGAATGCAGCCTAAGTCTCTTGTGCCTAAAAGCTCCTTGCTACCTGCCAGGATTTTTTTTTCGAACACTGAGCCACGCATGTACAGCTCAGTGCACAGACCCAGCATGCTGAGATGAGGTAAGTCCCATGCGCATGTGCGGGAGTAAAGTCATCAGGGGCCAGCCAAATGGTTGAAAACTCAAAACCGGGGACAAAATAGAAGCGCTTTGGCAGAGCCGTCCCCAGGCTGGGTGTCACCCAGTGTGGCTGCCCAATGTCACCTGCTGAGTCATCATTGCGCATGCATGTGATGTCATCACGTACATACGTGACATCATCATGTATGAGCGTAATGATGTCATGTGCACTTAACTGCCGGTGGCCATCCTGGTGATGATGCCAGAAAAGAGAGGATGGGATGTTCAGCCAGCAGGATAAGGTATTTAACTCAAGAGTTAAATCTTAAACATGCATTCAACTATTTCCAAAAATGTATCTTATTTGTGTATCACTCAGCTGTAGATCCTCAACAAGAGAGAATGTGACTATCTCTATGTCAGTGAGTACAATATACCAACCTTCTACTTGATTCCTAAGGTGCACCTCCAGGCAACACATTGTCCTTTCTACAAAAAGACAGATGGAACGCCCTGGAAGATATGTGGATGCTCAATTCATGTCCAGGGAGCAGTGTATGTGAGGAGAGGATGAGGAGAGGGATGAGGATGTAGGGATAGAGGTGAAAATGAGGAGAGAGGATTAAGTATATGGAAATTAGTGAAAAGACTTATCAGAAAGGAAAGAGTATGTGGGTAGAGGGATGAAGATGAGATGGGATATCCCCATATACGTAATTCTTTCTCTTCATTTTTACCCTTCTCCCCACATCCTCATCCCTCTCCCACCATCCTCATCCCTCTCCCAACATGCTCATCCCACTTACCACATCCTCATCCCTCTCCCAACATCCTAATCCCTCTTCCCACATCCTCATCCCTCTCCCAACACCCTGATCCCACATCTTTATCCCCCTTCCAACATCCTGATCCCTCTTCCCACATCATCATCCCCCTTCCAACATCCTGATCCCTGGTCCCACATCTTTATCCCTCTTCCCACATCATCATCCCCCTTCCAACATCCTGATTCCTCTCCCCACATCCTGATCCCTCTCCCCACATCTTCACCCCTCTCCCAACATCCTGATCCCCCTTACCACATCCTCATTCCTCTCCCAACATCCTGATCTCTCTTCTCACATCCTCATCCCTCTTCCCACATCCCTCTCCCAACATCCTGGTCCCACATCATCATCCCTCTCCCAACATCCTGATTCCTCATTCCTCTCCCAACATCCTGATCCCTCTCACCACATCTTCATCCCTCTCCCAACATCCTCATCCCTCTTCCCACATCTTCATCCTTCTCCCAACATCCTGATCCCTATCCCCACATCTTCATCCTTCTCCCAACGTTCTGAACCCTCTCCCCACATCTTCATCCTTCTCCCGACATCCTCTACCCACATCTTCATCCCCACATCTTCATATCCTCATTCCTCTCTTCACATACACTGATCTGCTTGTCAACACACATCCTCAGTCTTCTCCCACACATTCAATAGTTCGCACATGTCTCTTCATGTGGGAATTATATACCATTAGAACAGAATAAGATCACAGCTGCTCTGTCACCCTCCTTGTTCCCCTGTGTGTCATGTCTACCTGAGCTGAATAAAGAAATAGTGAACAGTATTTGTTCACCTTGCCTCTGTTGTGCCTCATTACCATATAACACGCCCACAGGCCAATCACAGTTACCCCAGTGACACGCCCCTTCAGGAAGAAGGACGAAAGGATCCTGGGAGTTGTAGTATCGGCAGGTTCCAGAAGTGACGTCTCGGTGTGCCATCAGCCCGCCCACCATTGCTTAGTGATTGAGGCGGAGGGAGCGCAGATGAGAAGTGACAGCTTGTGTGTGAAGTGATGTGAGGAGGGAGGATTGTTCATTGAAGATAATACTCTGAAGCTGTAAAGAGGTGACGCTGGGAAGGACGTTTCTTCCGGTCTTCAGGTAATCATTACTTGTACTTCACATTGTCTGCAAAGGAAATGTAAATGTTATAAGTCTGACCTTCCGGGACAGTATTCTGATGATGACGACACGTCATGGTCTCACTGATCAGATGTCCCTGAACACATTAATGGGGGGAATTTATCAAAAGTGGAGCAGCTAAAATCTGGAGCAGTTGTGCATGAGAACCAATCAGATTATCTCTTCAGTTTGTTCAGTTTAAGATTTGAAAATGAAAGAGAGCAGCTGATTGGTTGCCATGCACAACTGCTCCAGATATTAGCTGCTCCACTTTTGATAAATTCCCCTCACTGGGAATTCATGAAAACTGGAGCAGTTGTCCATGACAACCAATCAGCTTCTCATTTTGAATGCTTAACTGAAATAAGAAGCTGATTGGTTGCCCTGGGCAACTGCTCCAGATTTTATGAACTCCCCCCCTTTGTGTTCAGGGACTCAACTCTGGGAGTCTGATCAATGAGACCATGACATGTCACACACCATGCAGGCCTATAGGACAGGGGCTGTCTGGTGAGCTCCAGCAGCGGCTTATTGAATGAGAAATGCCATGACTTGTCTCACCTGGATCACTGGCCTGGATCACTGTGCCCGTTGTAAACATTCATCTGGAATAGTTTTATTTATACAACACTGAGATCCATTATTATTATTATTATTACTGCATGTATTTATATGGCACTATACTGTATATTCACATCAGTCCCCCAGGGCCCGATCACATCTGAGTGTTGCGTTATTTGCATCTAATGTATGTTACCGTGCGCTGGGTGCATTGTGTTGCCTTTGGTTCGCATGCGCTATTTTATTCCACCACAACGTATGGTATTGTGGTACTGCATGTTGCAAGTTCACAGTGGCCGGGGGTGCCATTCAAATAAATCGCAACACATCTAGCACATGGTAACGCATGTTAGGTGCAATAGCGTGCGTTATATATACACACAGAATGGTGCCATTAAAGCTATGCCCAGATCATGTGAACGGGCCCTTATGGAGCTTACAATGTAAGGCCCCTATGTCACATGCACACACATACTGGGGCCGATTAATCTACCAGCATGTCTTTGGTGTGTGGGAAGATACTCACACATGCACACGGTGAATTTACAAACTCCATGCAGATAATGTGATAATCGGGAGTCTAACATTTATCATAAAACTTGCAGATGTAGAATTGATCATATATTCTCTATATGGGAGAGGAACGGGTATCCTCCAGGTAAGCTTAAAGTGTATTTCCACTTTTGCAGCCAAATTGGGATCACACCTATCTTCTATTTGTTGCATGTTCCCCTTCACATTGCATAACAGAAAGCTGATCTCCAGCTATAAAGATTTATATGTACTTATAATACTCCAATGTAAGTATCTATATATTATACCAGATCGGCCCACAGGGATCCTGTAAAGCATTTATTTTATCTGCAGCTACTACATTGCTTTACAGCGATCTTCCGGGTCCTGTAAGGTGCTGTGCTGAGGGACGTCTGCTGTGAGAACGCAGGGAGCCGCTTGCTCGGTACAGCAGCCATCTCCCTGCAGAGAGCCGTGACTGCCACTCACGGCTCCCTGCAGGGATTCCCCCCCGCTCCGATCCTCCAGCGCTGACTGGCGGAACAGGAGGGGGCGGGTACAGCTGGCTCCGTCTCTAGATAGGCAGAGCCAGCGGTCACTCACGCAGCTGGGTGGATCCAGACAGTAATGTCGGGATCCGTCCCGGCTGCGGAGTCTCTGTATACTGCAAGCTGTAGCTCGCGATATACTGAGCTTTGGGTGACGGGAGGACGCTAGTTTGTGTTGTCCTGTTACCCTAAGGAGAACTATGGGGGAAAGCCCTAACCCCATAGTTCTCCTTTTAATGAGAGTAGTGTCCTGAGGGACAGACTCTTTTTGAAATGGTTCAGAGTAGCTGCAATCTGCCCAAAGTAACAGCTAAGTAAGAAATATATCTATTTGTAATTTTTTTTTTTTGGTATGCTGTGTGATTGGGAACACATAACAAACATATAGAGGGCTTCTGAAATTTGATTGCAAAAGTGGAAATACACTTTAAGCTAACCAACACTTGGTGCTAACAAGGCAAGACACAGCATGCCAGTATCCTTAGTAAATCAGTACAGAAGGTCACTGCTAGGTTTTAAATGTTTCATTGAGAAAAGACTAAACTACTTAATTCTCTATTCAGCTAAGGTAGACATGGCAGACAAGTGGAAGGGATGTCTGGAGTTTGCTCTTCAAGTAGCAAGGAACGCTGGTGCTGTATGTATCTTTACAAGGAGATTGCTCTGTCTCTCTGTATTACTCTCTCTCTGTCTCTCTGTATTACTCTCTCTCTGTCTCACTATATATATTCCTGAATTATTCACCATTGTGTCAAAATTAGCAGGAACATTGTTTTTCCTTTTGAATAAGTTATGAAATGTGGAAAAGCTCTCTATAATAATTTGGTGGGGGTGAGTGTAGGTAACCAAGAGGCCAACTGAGAAATAGAAAGGAGCTGCCATTGCTGACTTCCATTTTACAATACCAGCTGCCTGACCGTTTTGCTGCAATTCTGGCTTCAATGCTGATCCAGAATAAAGTTAGAACCCCTTATCTTCATTCTTGGTCCAGGCTACAGAACACCCCCTAGGTTATGGAGATGAGAAGATGGGAAGGTTATCTATAGTTCTAACACACTTCCTGTCCTAGGATGCCAAAACTGTTACTCCATTTATATAATATTATGAGTGCCAGGCAAGGACAGGGAGTGTTTTACTGGGAGGATCACCAGGAAAAAAAGAAAACAAATGCAGCCACCACATCTGCGGACTGGCAAGCTGTCACAAATTACATTTTTGTTTTGTTTATTTACCAAACTAGGAACACTATAAAGTATTTACATATTTTGAACAGTCAGTAAAAGCACTTTAAAACACGTCCTCATTCACTGTAGCTAAAGGCCTTGTGGAGAAATTAATCTTCAATGTTCACAACAGAATCACTGAAATCTTCGCTCTTTTCCTGTTACTTTCTATTGTGGCAGAATCTTGGCGGCCTGCCAGTAAGCACACACTAGATGTTTGAAACCGACTCTCTAGAATCTTTGTCTATAGTCCATAATGCCTCATACATAGGTCAATCGTTTACTATTGTGGAATGTTTTCACCATGGATGAATAAGTGTTCACTGTGTGATTGACAGATGGTACGCACAGCACTGAAGGATGAGGTGTCAGTGATGACGAAGAGCTCGCCAGCAGACCTGGTGACAGTCACTGACCAGAAGGTAGAAGAGATGATAATCTCATCCATCAAGGAGAAATATCCAACGCACAGGCAAGGATAAAGAACACTCTGCACCTTACTGCATCTCATGGAGTGATCCTCCAATTCTTATTATACACCATGACATGTGTGTCCTCTCTTTCAGCTTCATTGGTGAGGAGTCTGTAGCAGCAGGTCAAAAAAGCATATTAACCGATAACCCAACGTGGATTATTGACCCCATCGATGGCACCACTAACTTTGTACACAGGTATATTTACAGTACAGTAAAGTTTTAAAAAAAACAAAGTTTCCCTACGTTATGTTATAAAACATCTATTCTTACCGATATTTTTAGTAAAATATAAAAGACGGGGTCACGTCGGGTAAATAGACACCAAACATGTCAAGCCTTAAAATTGCGTGCGCCCGCAAAATCGCAAAAAAAACGACCACACTAAAAATGGGCCATAGGCGACGCTTAAAACGCTTTTACCGCTCAGCCGTGTAGTGTTATCAGTAATTTAATGGCCCTAAAATTATTGCCCTCACTCCGACGTTCGCGGTTATATGTAACGTGTAGCACAATAGGTGCAATCGTTGTTTTCGCACATAGGCGCACCCGACGTGTATGTGGGGAGCGGCAGACTTAAAAATGTTTTGTTGTTTTTTATTTTTTTAATGCTTTATTTTTTTTGTAATGAGTCTTTTAATTTTTGTGTGACTTTTTTTTTTTTACACAACTTTATTGCTATCACATGGGGGGAAGCCCCCTATGTGATAGCCAATTTACATGACAGGTCCTCTTTATGGAGACATCAGGGGTCCCCAAGACCCCTAATGTCACCTAGGCACCCCCAGAGAAGCTGATGAAGCAGAGATCTGCTTGATCAGCTTCTGTAGCTGGAAAATCACACTGAATGCAGGAAGTGATGTAATATACATCACTTCCTGCATTCGGGGACTGGAGAGTAGATCAAAGGGAGCTCGTGTCCTGATTTCCCTTTTGATCTCCTGTCACAGAGCCGTGCCGGTCCCGGCCGCATCAGGCACAGCGGATCTCGGGATCGGCAGTGACAGCTTCTGATACAAGCGATCGGGCGTCTGGAGACGCTCGAGCGCTTGAATGTAAAGCTCCCGGCTGCTCGTCTGGCTCCGCCGTCCTCTCGTCGCAGACGAGTGGATTTTTTAAGCCCTGCACATCATCTTAAACAATTCATCCCCACGCAGCTACCTCCTCAGGTATCACTACTCCCTCCCATTTAGATTGTAAGTCCTCACGGGCAGGACCCTCCTTACCATCTTGTCTTGATTTGTATTGTGATTGTAATGTCTTCCTTATATTGTAAAGCGCTGCGCAAACTGTTGGCGCTATATAAATCCTGTATAGTAATAGCCGTGTTTTCTGTGCAACAAATATATTCCAGTCCTATGAGTGCCAATAAAATGCACAGACATTGCTACCTTTGTTTGCGTGTGCCCCGTCCTCTTCATGATCACATATCCTAAAGCCACTCTGGTCCAGCACTAGTGCTTCCAAAGCCATTATGTTTTTTTTTAACAAGGCCAAGTTTACCCGTATAATGTTTTCTACCTATAAAGCTTGCTGTGTGTTCCTTTTCTCAGTTGTTTATTATTGGCATAAGAGAGATTTGTTCTGTATCCAAATTCAGAAGAACTCGGGCAGGGCTGACATCATTCGTTGTAATGAAATACTTTATAAAAAAATACCTGTTGATCCTGCTAGAATTCCGGTGTGCTCCTAACTTCCCATGGCGAGCTGACTGCGCTGCCTGAGTGTTGTTAGTCCTGCCTAAGTTCTTCTTTTGGACTACAGAACACATCTCCTTTATGCTATGTACATAAGGAAGAGAAGAGGAGGTGTTCTTTAGTCCAGCAGGAGAGAACTTGAGAGGGCTAATAACACTGCTTGGATCTGCAGTGTAGCAGAGGCAGCATTCTGAGCTCACCATGGGTGGGTTGGGAGCACACTAGAATTCTGGCAGGATCAATAGGCATGTTTGTGTACTTGCAGCATTTTTACTGGGATAAACCAAGAGGATATATGCATGTATTGCAGAGACATACTGAATATATTTCTTTTATTTTGTTCATGCACCCCCCCTCCCCTTCCTTAATAAACTGCCAACACTATTTAATTGTATCTAGGGATACAAGTAGGCTTGCATATAGCAGTAGCAGTACACATCTTCATTTATTATCTTGCCACATTCCCACTGGTCTCTGAATCCCTCACTGCCATTTGTCATAGCTGGCCAGCTTCTTCTATCTGGTTCTTGGGTTCAGTGCTGACCCACTGATGACATCTACGCCACCTCTTGTGCATGTGCTGCAAGGGATCTGGTGCTGTATGTTAACGTGTGTATGTTGACATCTGTAGAAGAAAAACTTTTTCCCTAAGATTTTGCAGTTTTGAAATGGGATTTCCCTGGGAGGCGCTGGTGATGTATTCTTCCCAAGGGGCATGAGTGAGGCCAGGGCTACATCACCAGTGCCTTGGAAAACACGGAAGTGAAGTTTCATAAAAGTTAAACCCATGTGAATGCATTTTATGGGAAAGCAGAGCTACATGCAAAGGGGCATTTTGTGATCTGCTGGATCTGATGATCTTCAGACTCTACTAGGCTGAATCCTCTGAATATCTGTTCATGCCTGTGGATAGTGCAGTGGGAGGAGCTAGACCGGTCAGTAATGGAATGGAAGAGAATTTGTAACAACTCAGACAACAGCTGCTTAGTCTGAAAATAAAATAAAGGCATTCGGCAGGTTCTCTAACCTTCCATCCTCAACCCATTACTGAACCTCTTCTGGATTTACTGATGGCCTACACCGAAGATGTTTCACATGGGTGCTGTTGTGCCCATCTGGCATTGCGGCAATCAGCGTCACTTCATTTGCTGCATGTGTACTACTACAATGTTACGTGGCGTAGTATTATAGATCTTATTATTTCATTTTTCTGCCTAGGTTTCCATTTGTGGCAATCTCTATTGGATTTGCTGTGGGCAAGCAGGTGGGTTAAACGCATAATTTGATATTGGTTTATAGCTGCAATGTTATGTGTAGCGGACAATTGAAGAACTGCATTAAACACTGTTTGTGACTTACCTGGCTGCAAAAATAAGTCGGGTGCAATTTAAAAGTGACAAAGTAAAAACTGTGAAGCGCCACGGACTGTCAGTTCTTAGTAGGACTTGCTTTTAGGCATGCTGCAGGATGCTGCCCCAAAGAAGCTGGAAATCTAGGGAATAAGCACAAAGAGGGGCGCCTTTCCTGGTGCAGATCACTTTTATTTCAATAAACATAAATAGAAAACCGAATCATACTCACAAACATGAGTGTCACAAAGTCATGAGGTGAGGACTGACAAGCAGTGAGATGTCCACTAGGTGATACCAGTGTAGTGGTGACGTTAACGCGTTTCCGGGGCACGCCCCCTTCATCAGAACATCTGCCCGGGAAACGCGTTAACGTCACCACTACACTGGTATCACCTAGTGGACATCTCACTGCTTGTCAGTCCTCACCTCATGACTTTGTGACACTCATGTTTGTGAGTATGATTCAGTTTTCTATTTATGTTTATTGAAATAAAAGTGATCTGCACCAGGAAAGGCGCCCCTCTTTGTGCAATTTAAAAGTGATCAGTAGATCATGAAATATACCTAAATAAAACTTGCCTGCATCCACCTACTGAGCTTCTGTATAGGTCACCTACAGTATTGTGATTGGCGGGTTCACTGACCAATTGAGAGAAGGTACATGCTTGAGATGGTATTTTCGGAAGTTATCTCATCTTTTACACATGGTGCTCAGAGAGAGTCTTTTTCACCCATGGTCACAAGGCCTGATGAACATCTGCATCTGGTGTTTTCTTTTGGGGAAATATCCCTTCACTGTCCGTCTTAGAGATGCAGCAGAAATCGAGAGGAAATCTCTCTAAAGTGATAAAAGAAGAGAATACCCATCTTGGAGAGTTATCGTAGGAATGGGTTTCCCAGCTGGAGGATTTTCCCTTTTTCTTGCTTACTAGTGCCGAAAAAATGCCTTCCCTGGTGATTGTTGCAGAAGAATATTACACAGCACACAAGAGGCTAAAAGGAGGTTACTTTGCCACCAAATCCCAGAGAACTCATTAAACAGGACGTGAACTATGGAAGCTGTGCCAAATAAAGGAAACCAGAGGGCGAACAACTAGTCACCAGTATTGCCTGCAGCTGATCTTTCCCCCATTACCGACTTTCCATGCCTGATGATGTCTCTGTGTTAAGGTGGCAGTCTTAGTAGAGGAGCAGGGCTTTGCTTCCCCCCCCCTTTATGACTGGTGATCTAATGACAGGTAGGGTAATGACAATGAAGTGGCAGGAAAGATGCAGGAAGCTCCCATCCAGACACTGAATGAATCAGAAACAGAGAGAACCTCAGGTACTGCTTTCTCCTCAGCAGGGGTGAGATCATCAAATCTCATTCCTAATCTTGTAAAACTAGGCAGGGGCGGTAGCACCTTATAGCTCATGCTGCAGATGTACAGCTATGAGGTTGTGGGTACAGGGAGCGTAATGCTATTTTTTTTTTTTTTTAGGGACAAATTAAAGACAAAAGGTAAATCATTGCTCTGTTGGTTAGATGTTTCCTAAAGATAGCAAATCTTCAGTCATTGAGTTCAGGTCCACTTTAATGTAAATTGATTGTACTTTCCATGCTTAGCATAGTTCACGATTTGCTGGATAGTCACTCCTATTTTGTGCAGCCCAGAATTGTTGTAGCTTGATCAATCACTGGCCCCAATGATGATGCAATGTTAGGAGTATGGTAGCAGCACACAAAGCGACTGAGATCCAGGGATAACTACACACGCTGAACACGGCCAACGTGCAGAGCTGGCACAGCTGCAAACGCACAGCCACAACTAGTCATTTAGCTGACTTTTTTTTTTCTGTTGAACTAAAATAATCTCTAGCTCCTGTCATCCACGTTTACTACACCCAGTCATTAGACATGTGTCTTGTCATTTTTAACAGAATCTTCCATTTTTAGCTAACTGTTAACCATAATTACACCCTATACATACCAGTCTCTGTGTTCAGACAACGGTGTGATTCATCGATGGGTATATGGTTGAAAGTTTTATAAAGCACACATCATAAAGGTCTAGGTAAATCTAATGAGAACACTCTTCTATACATTTTCCAGAGTTCAGATGTTATTTCTGGTTTGAATTATTTTTCTTGTGACCAGTGGAAGTAGACAAACACAGGGACATTTATCATGCAATTTACACACATGGTCTAGTTGTTCCAGTAATATTTCTGTATTATTTGGACATGTTGGAGGCTCAGCTATAAATTTGTGTTCGGACATGAATATTGGCTGAGAATGCAGGTGGATATATTTATAACATCATTTGTCACTTCTGTTTATATTCTTAACTAATAGTATGTTATCTAGTTCAGTGTTTCCCAACCTTGTTTAGTCATGGCACCCTTTTAATATTCAGAATCTCGAGGCACCGCAATCTAATATGTAAAAATTAATGAGAAGTTATCCCCAAAATCTATACCTGACCCTTTTCCTAGATAGCGGTCTGGTATAGACTTTAAGACCCCATGCAAAAAAGATGTAAAGTTCCCCCATTCACGTTAGAAGCCCCCACTTTTCACATGAGTCCCCACCCCCTCAATGTCACATCCCAGTCCCCCCTTTCACATCAGAGTGCTACCCTATAGTCAGCACCACAGCGCATTGCAGAGGGGATGTGCAAATGCATGATACTGGGTGAAAATCTGAAGGCATCCCTAACAATTCCAGAAAGCACACAGGGTGCCCGGGTTGAGAAAGGCTGATCTAGTTATCTAGCCGAGGCCTCAGTTTAGTGATGTTTTAGGCTTTTCTGTACGATTTGAAATGCTTTCAAATGACCCTATTAACCTCCCCGGCGGTCTGATTATGCAGGATTTTAGCATGCCAAAGCTATAATAAATAATTATAAAAAAATATAATATAATAATAAAAAATAATAATTAAAAAATGGTCCAGTAAATGGAAATTCTGGGGGCGCTGCCTGATCTGTACCACAGTCTATAGAGTACAGTAAAAGTGCATGCAGGGCATAGGACAAAGCTCTAGGGACAAAATTAAAGTGAAATAGTTTGATAAATATACCGTATTTTTTGCTCCATAAGACGCACTTTTTTCCCCCCAAAAGGAGGGGGAAAAAGTGCCTGCGTCTTATGGAGCGAATCCCGACGCCCGAGACATGCAGTTTCGGGCGCCGGGCGAGTAGTAGGAGCCACTGCTCGTTTAATACGAGTGATCTAACGAGATCACTCGTATTAAAGCCGAGCAGCGGCGGCGGCGATCGAGTTCAGCAGTAGGAGCCACTGCTCGTTTAATACGAGTGATCTAATGAGATCACTCGTATTAAAACCGAGCAGCGGCGACGATCGAGATAACCATAGAGCAGACGAAGAATAGACGTTCTTCGCCTGCTCTGTGTCATCACTGAGACCGTGGCGCTGTAATCACAGCGCCACCTGTCTCAGCGGTCACTAACTGCAGCTTCTGTCACAGCTTCTGTCATAGAAGCTGTCACAGAAGCTACAGTCTCGAGTGCTCCATAAGGCGCGCCGGACCTCCCTGCGTCCTATGGTCCGGTGCGTCTTATGGACCGCAAAATACGGTATGTAATTTATAGCAGATTACAATGTATTCTGTGTAAATGTCATGTTTGCACTTATGAATTTCCCGCCGGCTCCACCGCCCGCTGTGATGCCCGAAAACGAAACTGAAAGCCGAATGCCGGCATCGGCTGGGCGCACACAGCAGAGGACACCGCGGGCTCGCAGGGACAAGGTAAGTGAAACTTATGCGCAATCCCAAGTGTGGCTCGGGGTTACCGCTGTTGGTACTGAAAATGAACCCCGAGCCACACTCGGGAATACCGCCAGGAAGGTTAAAGATGGAATAAGAATTTCATGTTCGTAATACTTCCGTGTCCTCGGATCTCTTTCTGAATATACCATTTGCCACTATGAAGCAAGTTAACAAAATGAGTCACAGATCCAGCTTCTTCTTCTTTCAGTAAACTCTCTGCACCAGGTTTACAGTGTAGTATTTACAACGTGTGTATCTGGATTTGTGGACAGCCAATTGTGACAGATTGCCAAGTTTCCAGACAGATTTACACAAAATCTGTAATGCATTCTGCTTCAATTATAACTTGTATTTACCTGAATAGTGGTTAATTTTGGGTTTATATTTTGCAAATAACATTCCAGCATCATTTTTAACCTCCAGTAGGAATGATTGTTCGTTTAGTACTAATCAAACGTTATATGATCATATGAGTGATGTTACCATGTGCTGGAGAATGACAGTTGACCTCTTTTATTGCTGAGCCATACATCCAGCTATATATCTTTTCTAATATCTCTCTAGTGCATTTAATTAATGGGCTATTGTAGGTAAACATCTTCATATGAGTTGGGATGCACACCCCGACATTGGATGACAGATCTGTGTGCTTATCTTTCCTTAGGTAGAATTCGGAGTTGTGTACAGTTGTATTGAAGACAAGATGTACACTGGCAGAAAAGGAAAAGGAGCCTTTTGTAATGGTCAGAAATTGCAAGTCTCTAAACAGAAAGGTGAGCATCTCTCCAGCTACCAATATCTATTGAGTCTGGTCCAAGGGCGTAACTAGAAATCACAGGGCCCCATAGGGAAAGAGGAGTTACAAATTATAACCCCCTTTCCCCAGCTTCATTGGTGTCTCAATGTTGTTGTAAAGAGGAACACCTGGAATTAACCCTTGCAGAGGTGCTACCCCCACACTGCAAGTGTTAAGCTGCTCCTTTTGGTCTAGGGGCTGGATTTAAAAAGATATACTTGCCTGATCCTCTATCACGCCTGGCTGCTAGACCGATCTCTGCAGCCTCTGATGTCATCGCATCTAATGTAGGTCCATTTACCTGCATTAGACGTGAGGATGCTTAGGGACATACAACAGCCAGATCGGGGGGGAGAGGTGAGCACTGACTAGGATCAAGTGAATACATGTTCTATATACCGGCTCCTAGACTAAAACGAGCAGTTAACACGCTTGCAGTGTGGGGGTAGCCCCGCTGCAAGGATAATTGTGTTAATAGCTGAAGTTTTGCAGTCAAATTGAGAAAACCCCACTATGTGTTTGTTATGTGTTCCTATTCACACAGTATAAGGAAAAATAATTTCAAAATATATTTCTTAGCTTTTAGATGTTGTGTTGCAGCAGGCAACGTGGCTGATTCCAGGTTTTGTTTTTCTCATTAATTTCATTAACATTTGAATGCGGGAGCCCCTCACCCCTCAATCGTTGGGGGTCAGTGGCATTTTAACCCCCGCACCTTGAATGTATATAATTCCACTGTAATCTGCTGCTGCCTTCCTCTTGTGTCACTGTACAGAGGAGTATTTTGAGCAGCAATCCCCCTCCTCCTTCCCTTTCTGTTGTGATTGGAAGGGGAGGACTGGCTGTGTGTAAACACAGCAAGTGTTTCCACTTGTAATCACTGTGATTCGTTTACAACAATCACAAGGCACAGAGCTCTCTGATTGGCTCTGTGCATTTTGCCTGTAATCTGTGCTGTCTAATGATAGTGCAATCACAGGCATTGGGAATTTCCCTGGTGAGCACATCCCCTCTATAAATGAGGACATTTATAAACAGATTCTGTTTCTATGAGAATTTAAAAACTTGAATGATAATGATGATTTCCCCAGACGTCTGTACACTCCCTGTTTATTATGAATAGCAGTGACAATGCTTTTTCAGTAGAGTCGTCTTTTTAATTCCTCCAGTCGGAGCTACTGTATGGAATATCTGTAAAAAATAAGTAAAGGCAGCTGGACTGGCTGTATTTTTCTTGAAGACGTTTCACTGGTCATCCCAACTCAATTTTTCAATTCAGAATGACTTGTACAAAAATTATCTGGGAATATATATGGTGAATGTTCCTCTAATCCACATAATCTGTTAGTCACAACCAGGTGTTGATCGCATTTGCATAATTGGAGCTAGGAGGTGTTAAAACAGCATTGTATGTGGCAGACATAGATTGGTTGGATGACCAGTGAAACGTCTTCAAGAAAAAATACAGCAAGTCCAGTTGCCTTGACTTATTTCTTTACAGATATACCGTGACCTGGATGAATGAGAACCTTCACAGACATACTGTATGTAATCATCTGCACATATACAGTATGTGTATATGTGACAGACTTGTTTACATTTCTATTAGTGCTTGAAACAAATTTGCAAAACTCTTCCTATTTTTTAAAAATATTTAGCTGATGCAAATTTCTATGATTATTTCAGAACTGAGATCAAACCCGAAACCCAAGGTTATTAAAGTCTACTTTTATTTGAGGATGCTTGACTTGTTTTTAAACCCTTCAGTCAGGTCCTGGATTAGTTGATATCCAGCAGTACAGGATAAATACAATATATATTCTCGCTTTCTATGTTTTAGATATAACCAAATCCATGATTATCACAGAGCTTGGATCAAATCGTAACCCAGAGGTCATTAAAATGATTCTATCCAACATGGAGAGACTGCTGTGTATTCCAATCCATGGGTAATGCTATAAAACATAGTACTACAAATATTGAGAATATGTTTTAACTCCTTTTTATAAATGGCATTTGATTTCTTTTAAGTGGTTTGAGTTGGAAGAAAGTGTCATGTATGTGTTCTTAGCATATGCCTATATTTCATTGTGGTTGTGATCTCCTATTGATTGTTCTATATGAAATCACAACAAACAACAGTGACATTCCTGCAACACTGCTAATGTTTTGCTCTGATGAGATAATGAATGTACTATTGTACCTTTTATACTAAAACTCTGTACAGCTTTCCTTACCCTACCCCTATTTATTGTAAACTAGGAATGCACAGATACCGGTTTTTCAGCATCAAGTACCCGTGCCGATATTTTGCTTTCGGTACTCGTCGATACTGAGTACCGATACCAGTGCTTCCCCTGGCATGGAGCTGGCTTCCTGGGCAATCAGGAAGCCGGGCGGCGGGTAATGACATGCCGCCCTGCTTCCTGATTGCTCGGGAAGCTGGCTCCATGTTGTTTGGCCGGCTTGATTGCAATTTGGCTGGGAAGCCGCTTTCCCGGCCAATCAGCAAAGAGCCAACTGTTCGGCCATGAAGCATGAAGCCGGCCAATCAGGGGCCAATCTTGCAGCATTTGGGCGAGTACTCAAACTCGCCCAAATACTCTGTACTAGTATCGGTATATA